GTGGGGTGGGGGCCCCAACAAGCTGGTAGGCTGGTTGCTGCTGGGCTGCAGGATTAAGTTGGCTTGTCTGGCAATGGGCGCTGGCGGGAGGAAGGGGAGGGAGTGTTATTGTGGAGACGCTAGAAAAGAGGATGGAAGAGAATATGGCAGTTGAAGGTGGAGAGGGCTTGTTTGGAGGCGCCTTGATTTTTGATCCTGCTTCAGGTGGATTGAAGCTTTGCCAGATTTGAGCATTGAAGAGGCGTCGGGGGTTTCGGTGTACCGTATGTGTACGAACACGAGTGCAGAATCGACGCGAGCGCAGACGCACAACAGATGCGGGCCTCAACGATGGATTATTTGACATGAACGTGGATCATCCCACGACATGTAGCTCGGCTTCTGACCTTTCCACCTACTCCCCTGCCGGCCCCCCTCCCCCAACCTCAATAGAGTGGGCTAGTCTGAGCACGCGGGCGGGTGTGCGCGTATGCCAATGCATAGAAGAGGCACCGCGAGCGGCCAATTGTGCGATTCGTGACTCGTTGGGTGGGAAATCCCTTCAATCAATGACTGACGAGCAGGTGTCCCATCTGCACCTACGCACCTTCTGCGACACTTCTTTACATGCCCGCCTCATGTTGTAAATGCCTGGATAAACACTCAGCACGGTCCGTGTGTGTCGGGCTTGCGCAAAGCCAGCGACTTGTCTGGTTTCCCACAGACCATCCCAGTCTGTGATTAGCTGGATTAAGTGACAGCTGCCCAAATGCTCGGAACAAGATAGATGATGGGCAGATAAAGGGGGGGGCGGAGTGGGGGAGGAGAGGCGTTGCTGAACAAAGACCCTTGTTCCAATACCGTAACTCACCCCCATCCCAATCTCAACCATTGTCCATGCGGAGACACGGTCAGCTCGAGGACAATTAGCAATCAGCATTTGCACCAGCGAGCCGGGCAAGATTAGTTGGATGGAGTCAAAAAGACAGCAATTACTTGCACCTACACTAATCCTCTGCCCAACAGATTGCAAACTGACGTTATACACGTCCAAGGACCGTTTTTCGCTGTTCGAATCTTCAAGCGGCTGCGTAAAATACTTAGTCTGGGAGAACCGAGAAGATTCTGTGAGTCCAATCTCCCAAAAACCCTCGCCCGCCCTACTCCTAATGGATTAGAGGATTTACAAGGAGAAATCCTAATTTTCAAGTGAAGAAGGGGAGCATTTGAAGGGGGGGAGATAGGTGTTTCTGTGTCCCGTATGAAATAAAACTGCTTGCAAGGCCTTGCGCTTACATTCTATGCAATAAAAGCGAACAATCGGCCTTGTTTTCCTATTCATTTGGTTTTCCTAAATGGTCTTCGATGTCACATGTCGACAGGGAGCCGCAGGTGTAAATTTCCTTCGCCAGATGACTCGCGGATGGGTCGGTGGGTGGGAGCCTTCACTGCTGCCGCTGCAGAGTCGTTTTACGCTTTGAATAAAAAGGTGCCGGGAAACGGAGGCAGGCAACAGTGGGAAGTGGAAGCCGGGGCAGGTTGGGGTCACTAAGCATGGGGGTCTGCACACTCCTTTTTCTAAAGAGGGGTCAGCGCTCTGCATGTGGGGCGATGTGCGTGTTTGCATTCGAAGAATACTAAGAATGTGAGATCCAGGCCTGGTGTTTAATCCCATGCAAAATCCCAGTCGGCCAACAGTCCGTTGTCAGTGGGAGCGCGTCTGCGATGAGGATCAGCCGAGTGATTGACTCGTTTGTGGCTCCCGGGTAAATTTTGCATTTGGGATTTTGCTTTTAGGATCACAGGATGTCAGTACCCGACTTACATGTCCTTATTCGGTGATCAAAAAACAGCAAAGAATCTGAACCTGTCATACTTCGTTTCAAGGTAACGCCAACAGGCAACGTTCCAGCTCGCCCATGCGGTGTCACTGACATCTCCTGATTTATTGCCTTCTGATGGGACATGAGGTCATCACTATTCATCCCATGGCCAGTAATCGCTGCGTGTAATCTTCATTAATCTGTGATGTCAATCCCAGCTTTTAGTTTTACTAGGGCTGAGTCTACACTATCCCAGCGAGGGCAAGGCGCCATCCCATCTCTCCTGGATCCAAAGACCAGCGGGTTTCTTTTTGCGGTACCCCTTGGCCACTTCTCTGTGGCTCACTCAAAATGAAGAGAAAACACCGCAGTTCTTTTGGCATAATTGAAACAGTGATGTCTAAAAAAAAAAAAAATGGGGGGAAATCAGTCTTGTGAAGTTATGGTCATGGGCTGCGGTGCATCTTTATTTTAGAATTAGCCATTAAGATTAACTGATGGCAACTACATTTAGTAATACAAATGGATATTTAATATTTGGGCTCTTTTTACCACTCGCTAATGATAACATTGGTGCGGAAACGGCCTTCACTCAACCGGTCTCATTTTGGGGATCGACGTTGCAAATGAGTGGCCTTAATTACCCATTTCCATGTAACTTCAGCATAAGCGAGCACGCTTTATATCAGACAATAAGGTGGTGAAAAGCCACGAAAGAAAACCCAAAATGGGAGAGGCATGACTGAAGAATTCCCTTCCTTTACATAATGGTAGAAAATGAATGGCATTTGCGGTCACAGGTTGCTTGCAAGAGTGCCAAGAGAGGTTAGAGCGAAGGCAAGGCATTTGGCTGGCGAGCGTACACCGGCTGTGCGCGCGCACGCGCACACATGCACGCACGCTAATACGCGAGGACGCACGGCCCATTGAGCAGGCTGCTATGATGCCAACAGGGTCATTAGCCATGCACTTCCAATTCAACACACTCTGGCGCTAATTAGCCAGCGGGATCAAGGACGATGCAACATGAAGAACAAACGGCACACGACGAACGCTTATAAATGACTTACCGTCAGACGGACGTAGCTGACATTCTGTATTTTATTTACTATTTTTTTAACAAGAAATTTTCCCCAAAAGTAAAATAGAACTAAAAACCGTACCTTTTCAATGTGTTTACTCGACGCTGACCGTTTTAATTAAGATTGCATGATTCTGGAGTAGCACATGGGAGTCGTAAATAAAATATGGTCACATTAGCTTTGTGCGTGCGTTCTTGGCTATTGGACCATGACTCGCTCGTAGGTGGCTCATTTGCCTGAAGGCATTGAAGAGTTGCCACAGCGATGGGCATGCTCCGCAAACATTACCAAGCTAATTCATGAGGCATAGTAAGGGGGGGGAGGGGGGGGTTGGCTTGAGCGCAATGC